CTGTGTGGGTTTCCTCTGGTTACTCCGGTTTCCTCCTACACTCCAAAGACATGCTGGTAGGTTAATTGGCTTCTGTCTAGATTAGCCCTAGTATGGATGAATATGAGTTAGGGACTTTAGATTGTAAGTTCCTTGAGGGTTAGGGACTGATGTGAATGTATAATATATGTAAAGCACTCTGTAAATAAATGGCGCTATATATGTACCTATAATAAAATAAATAATAAATGGTACACAAAAAGTGTGCTAATTAGTCTGCTTGGGGCATATCTGTGTATACAGGTGCCACAAATTCAGGTCTGCAAAAGAGGTTCCTGTGGCATATGGCCAAGATGTTTTCCTTTTTACAGCCATAACTATACTAATATTTGTTGATTACTATTGCAGACCAGAACAAAAATGTAGTTTTACAAAATTGTCTTTTTTTTTTTTTTTTAAAAGATGGTACTGTTTTTAGCGCTGCAGAGTAGGGTTGGATATTTTTGCATAGTTAATATAAATATGCATGTGCCATACCTGGCTGATCTGCCTGGAAGCTGGAAATACTCTATTTACTTTAGCAGTTAAAGTAGAACTATAGGCAAACCTTTTCTTTTTCATTTTGGATAGAGTAAGGGAGGGTTATAACCACTGTCAGTTTATTTTAACAGCTGTATCCCATTGGAGAGATTTACCTTCACTTCCTGTCCCATAGCTGTCTGGTCTCACATACTGTTTACCAGTTTTTGAATGAATTGTGTAAGAAGTTAGACTTCAGCTGACCTACTCATACAGCCAAGGTGTCTGATTCAAGAGTAGGTATAGCTAAATAATGGAGAGAACAAATTATTTATAATATGCCAGAATAATAATAAAAAAGTCAAAATATGCATATCCATAAATAAGCCTGGTGAATTGTAAACTGGGGCAGGGTAGTTGGGCGCATCTTCTGCCTGGGTTGTTTCCACTAAAATATATTGGGCTGGCCACAGAGACTCTTCTAGTCAGTGAAAGCTGGAGTAATGTTCTTACAGTTCAGACCTATCGTCCGAGGAACCCCCACCAAAAGGATGTCTTAAATCCCCAACCTCCTCTGCAGCTCAATGTATTAGGTCACATGACATTTCAAACCCCCAAAGGGGGGATTTAGGACTTCCCTTTGCTGGGGGCCACTTTAATCCCAGGTTTTGTGATCATTCTAGAACATTTGGCAGTTACTGACTGGGGGCCCTGAATAGAAGGAGGGTTAAAGTAGAGGTAAATCCATTTTTTTAAGCTTTGGACAGACTGGTGAAGGGTTACTGCTTTTGTTTCATTTTTACTTCTGTCTTTCTTCCCACTGGGAAGACTTCCTGGTCATTTCTTTCTTTCTAACTGTTACCACAGAGAAAAACAATATATAAAATATAGACAGAGTAAAAAACATTTTATTTATTAGACTTCAAGTGACATCTGATCGACTGACGCAAGCTGTAGAGTCAGACTAAGGCAAAGTAAAGCAAACCTAAATAAGAAGAAATGTTTAAGTCTTTGATAAAATGCACAGTTACAATAATATTTTAAGACTGAATATTTAGATTACTGCGTACACTTAGTTGTGATTGGTTCCCTTCAAAGTTGAACAAATGTAATGTCATCAATCACATATAATGAAGACCACTGGTTATTATGTAGTGTGCCAAGGAACTCACTATTACAGTAGGAGATGGATCCTCAACATGTTAGGAGAATAGTCAGAGGAACACAAAGACCAGTGTGCTAAGTTCTCTGTAGACCCATTGAAGATATTATAGCTCCATTGTTAGCTTGCATTTGATTTTCGTTTATTTGTATTGTTTTCTGACACATTCTCATTTGTATTAAACTGAATTTGGGGGAAGTATGATTTACTATAGGGGGTATTTGGTAAATTAAAGTAGTACAGTTTAAGGAATACATGTCACAGTAAATGGAAAACAAAAAAAAACAAACATTAAGACAAGGTAATGTAGGAGAGGAAAAAGAGCTACTGTAATTTAAGTGCTTCAAGTGGCAAATAACAGGAGAAGAATATTGCTTTGTGATGGTGATGGAAAAGTAAATTGCAACAGTTGGCCCTCCACCTCTACTGAAAAGTAAAAGTGTAAATCTTATGTGTGACACTGGGTAGTTAGGCTATTCCCCTCCTGATGGGCTGTCAAGCTCCACAGTGCAATAAAATATAATTTAGTACGTTTAAGATGAGTGATTTGGCCTCCTGGCTAGGTACATTTAGACATCATGAATAATAACATGTTTTGTTTGCAGGGAATAAATCGCAAGACAGCGGCATTGCAGAAATGGAGGAGCTACCCGTCCCTCACAACATCAAGATAAGCAACATTACATGCGACTCCTTCAAGATATCCTGGGAAATGGATTCTAAGTCCAAGGAACGGATTACACATTACTTTATTGACCTGAATAAGAAGGAGAACAAGAACTCCAATAAGTTCAAACATAAGGTAACTCATTACCATCCTTTAGTATTGCACATACAAAAGTAATTGCCGGTGGGTTACCACCAGAGTGTTCTGAGAATTATAAGATATCAGTGGGTGAATTAACCTGACGGTATCTACACAATGCATTGTACTTTTTTTTTTTTCCTACATGTCTCATCATCATAATGGTAATATGTCTCTTTGTTATATGTCTGATTTGCATTTTCACGCTCATATGTCTTGGCAAAATAAAAACAAACATTCAGTACATCTCTGCAATACATGCACATGTCTCCATGTTTTACCCCTTTAAAAATGGTGCAAGTACAGAAAAATTCCTCTTGGTCATCTTTTATGCTCCTAATCATCATTTATCTATCCTTTGCGGTAATGAACTCCAGCAGTCCTCTCCTGTAAAGGAACGTCAGGACTGGGGTGGCTCTGTAGTCGTGGAGGGAATTTATTAATATACAGGATTTATATAGCTCCAACAGTTTGCACAGGGCTTTACAATATAGACGGAAACAGTACACTTACAATACAATAACAAAACAAGAACATTAAGAAGGCCCTGCTCATAAGAACTTACAATCTAATGGAAATGGCTGCTGTATATTATCACAATAGGAAGTACAGGTATTTTCACTTTCATTGTCTGTCTCTAGTGAATGAACAGATAAAATGGGAAAATGATAAATCATAGTAGGACTTCTTTGGGAGGGGCTATACTTGTGTATTATCTACTTAGAATAAGATTTCAAGCAAAATTTTTCACCTATGCATGCACATGCTTTTCCATAAACGTCAATGAAAATGCGTTAGTAAGCATCAATATGGAAAACGCGTGTACCTTAAAACAGAAGAGGGGAAATACAGCCGCAATCTGGCAATTTTGGCATTTGTCAGGTCGCCATTTGTTTCTAAGCATTTTTAGAAATCTGGTTTTGCTTCTGTGGGCTTCACTGCCTGTCTGTGCAATCTGTCTTTGGCAGTAGTGCCAACATAAATATTAGTGCTCCATCTGACTCTGCATACTTCAGTCACGTACACAAACATGGATTGGTGATTTATATGCCAAGGTTGTCAGCACTGAGATTTTATGATGCTGTAGACAGATTGAAGAGCAATATGAATCTTGCCATTTATTCCATACATATTAAAAGAGAGATGCCTTTTCATGGACATTGTTCTGCCATCCCAAAAAGATGTTCCTGTTTTTAGCAGGGTCAGGTGAGGATTGCAATGTCTTCAGGCACTTTAATACTGCAGCAGACACCCATGGATAATAGATTGGATTAGAAGATAGTCATGTTATGTTGATGTTTTCTCATCCAAATACTACTGCTCCTTCAAGGTACATGCTGGGGAGATTTACTAAAACTGGTGCACTCAGAATCTGGTGCATCTGTGCATGGTAGCCAATCAGCTTCTAACTTCAGCTTGTTCAATTAAGCTTTGGCAATATAACCTGGAAGCTGATTGGTTTCTATGCAGAGCTGCACCAAATTGTGCACTTACCAGTTTTAGTAAATAATCCCCTACTGTGTAATACTTATCTACTGCATGAACAGATGTACATGGTTAGTCATTTTGGACATCAAACAAAGCATACAATACACATTTGTGAAAATGAATTATTTTAATATCTTGGTGCAAGGAACAGTAATGTGTAATAAATTAGATTTGACTGAACTCTACAGTTGGCTGCCTTATACTTACGAAATCCTTGCTTAGGTGGAGTTAAAACAGTTGAGTTTCATATAAATGAATACATGAGCAAGGGTGTCGCTGAGTTTACAGTTTGCTTTGATGGCAGCCAGTCCAAGTCCACAAATGAGAATGATGACTGTAAATGTCAAACAAGGACTGAGACAATGAAGCTCAGACCTCTGATGTTAGCACGTCACCCCTGTGTTTCAGGATATTCTTTAGTTCACACAGGTCTTTAAAATGTGTCAAAGAGAATTTCAGATTCTGAATAGTAGACTTTTCCCTGGCCTCAGGGACTGACAGTCTGAGCTCTTTGAGAACAATTATATAGTAAGTAAGACAAATTGAAATATTCCAAGGCTGTGTTGACATGTTTGGGTGTGTGGACCTGTTTGTGCAGAAGACCATCTCTTGATGTAGATGACATCATATGCACCTTGCCATTGTTTGGCATGACACCCATAATTGCAGTGATTTGTGCTTGTAAATCAGGTGTGATTACTCCTGCACTTACGTGCTGTGTAGCTGCTGTACATGTAGGTTCAAGCATATAACAATCTAAGAATGACATATTGTTTCCTGTTTTTTCTCAATAAACTTGTAACTTTACACAAAACTTCATGCAGCACTAGAAACATATGTATCATGTAAAGCAGAATTGTCAGAAAAACATCTTGCAGTCATATCACATTACGTATTTATGTTTGTGTGGGTTTTGTAATATAGACATATAGAATGGCAGGAAATGAAACCTATTTCTGGCAGCAATCCTAAGTTTGTATGTCCCCAACAACAAATTAGCCATTACACACAGTGTGGTTCTATGCAAAGGTTAAAATGTTACTAAACCCAGGACCCTGAATTCACTATATCTGATCTCCCACAGTAAACAAAACATGGATATGCAATTATTTCGTAATTGTAAACTGCTAAATACCTTTTCTCATCAGCAGTTAGAGCAGTCATGTGACTTCTATCAGTGTCCAGCAGAGCACTGATTAAACCTTGTAGGAGGAGTTTTCATTCTCCTCTCACCATCCTATGAGGCTGGAGGACCCCTGAATCCCTCTCTCTGGACAGCGCTGATCGCCCTGTGCTGATCACATGCACCCTCCAAAGAAAAAGAAAAAACTCTCTAGCAATGCACACTAAACCGAGCATGTGCAGCTTGCTCCCAAGGCTCTGTTCTGTCAGCAGATGAAATGGGGACAGTAGAAGAAGGGGAGGATCAGAAAAGACAGGAACAAATATCCTTTTTACACAATGTAGAGAATTAACCCTGTAAGTTCCTCGGTGAGTATAACAAGCTTGCTTTACAGCACATACAGGCTGATTTTACTGTTGTGGGTCTAGTAACACTTTAACTCTCTGTATCAGCAGTAGTTACTTGAAAAAAGCTGATCAGTATACCATAACATGCACTCACAATCATAAAAAAAGCAAGTCCACCTAACCTGACATGTAAGTTTGTGATTATATTTTTATTGTGACTGAGTTCTCCCTTCAATCAGTGACATTTAATCAGTTACTAATACAGAGACAGATCTTCACCAGGTTTGACAGGTTTATACCAACCTGTCTGATAATCAGCATCTGCGCGATACAGACAATGATTGAGTCTTAGATGACAGATTATCAAATAATAGAATGGCTTTACTTTTCTTCGTTATGTCTGTTTGCATTGCTCTTGCACGGTTGAATAGTGCACAATTTATCTGCTTGTCCTGTGGGTAAAAGACCAGCAGTCTACACATTTCTGGAGACATTATTTCATATCTTGGAATGGCTATTTGTAGATACCATAGTGTATTCGCAGAGCTACCAGTGACATGTCATTTCCTCTACAGGCCCAGACTATAGGGGCTGTTAGTTTGCAATTTTGCATTTGTACAACTAAATATCTACAACTGACCAAATATTACCATAATTAATTCGTAAAAATGACATTAATTTGTCCACTGACTACTACATGATTATAAGCTCAATTCACTAACATGTAACAATCATTGTTTTCAGCCATGTGACTGGAATTTGTATCTGTTGTCATTGCTGGGGATATTGGTCGGTATAGCAGATAATAATTGATCATTCTAGCGTAGTGGTGGTCCTAGAGCAGTCTACGATTAATTGTGCGTAACCATGTACGTGCTGCAAATGTGATCATAGATTGTTACAGCAGCAACCGATTGTCAAATGATAATTATTAGGGACACTAACACAACATAACGCACACGATTCTTGCTAAATCTAACAGATAAAACTTTACTGACCTAATAAATAAAGCTCTGTGTGTGAATGAGATCTTGGGGCTCATTCACATGGATACTGTGGCCTGTATAGTTTGAATCAGTGGTTTATGTGGCTGGAGCTGTGTGCAACCAGCCTGTGTTACACTATGGGGAAAAAAAACAGTTGTATGAACACAGCCACAATTCCTAATTTGTTTGTGCTGAGGACTGCTCTGGACTGACAGGATCAGTCACTGGCCATAGGTGGGTAGTTGCGTAGGTAGGTAGGGAGATGTCCCTCCAGTCAATTGTGCAAAAATGGTGGATACTGGCGGTAAACCCCTCTTAGGGTTTGGGCTGCTGCCTTTCTGTTACAGCCTTAAGGTTGTTTCCACACGTATCCTTGGAATAATAGAAAAAGGAGTGCCCGATGTTCAAAAGAATGCACTTTTTATGATAGATTTAGAGGCATTTATTGAGAGTAATGACAAGTACATCAAGACAACGTGTTTCGGGAGAACAGACTCTCCCTCCTTCAGGGCTATTAAACAAATACAAAAAATATACAGAGAAACATATAAATAAAATGGTATGTATATTAAAAAACAGATATATATGTGTACATTAAAAAATGAGACCATTATGTAGAAGCAATTCCTAATTTGACAGGTGTGCTGGTGTAGGCATGTGGGTTACAGGCGTGTGGGTGCAGGTTCTAATTTGACAGGCGTGTGGGTGCAGGGCTTGTTTACAAGTGACGCTGGGGGGCTTTAAAACCCTGCAGTTGAGCTGTGCTTTTACTGCCCCCCAACCACTACCCCTTTAGCTGCAGAAGCGGTGGTTGGGAGTATACAAGTGCTGCACCTGCGATGCTTTGCTTCACGGCACTGTGCATAGCACTGCTATGCAAGGGGTTAAAGCAGGTGGTGGTAAACAGTTGGATGCTCTCTGAAGAACGATGTGAACACAAATTGCTCTTCAGAGAACAAAGCCCTAATAAATAAATAAATATATATATATATATATTAGTTGTGTTCAAAATAATAGCAGTCAGACATCACTAACCTGATCAATCACTGTTTTTGGTAGAAATGATATTTCTACATGGCATATAATTTACTAGCAGGTGTAGTAGAGTAATAGAAATCCAACAGACCCAACAGTCATGACATGCATGCTGCTGATTCTGTGTAATTGATTCACTAATTGAAAGGGGCATGTTCAAAATAATAGCAGTGTGCAGTTCTATTAGTGAGGTCATTCATTCTTTGAAAAACAGGTGGCAATTATTGCCCTTATTTAAGGAAGGAAGGCAGCAAATGTTGTACATGCTGGTTACAGTGCATTTCTCTCTGAAATTCTGAGGAAAATAGGTCGTTCCAGACATTGTTCAGAAGAACAGCGTACCTTGATTAAAAAGTTGATTGGAGAAGGGAAAAACATATAAAGAAGTGCAGAAAATGATAGGCTGCTCAGCTAAAATGATCGCAAATGCTTTAAAATGGCAACCAAAATCTGAAAGACGTGGAAGAAAGCGAAAAAACTACCATTCGAATGGATAGAAGAATAGCCAAAATGGCAAGGACTCAGCCAACAATCAGCTCCAGGAAGATCAAAGAAGGTCTAAAGTCACCTGTGAGTACTGTTACAATTAGAAGACGCCTATGTGAAGCCAAGCTATCTGCAAGAAGCCCCCGCAAAGTCCTACTGTTGAAAAAAAGACATGTGCTGAGGAGGTTACAATTTGCCAAAGAGCACATTGACTGGCCTAAAGAGAAATGGTGCAACATTTTGTGGACCGATGAAAGTAAGATTGTTCTTTTTGGGTCTAGTGGCCGGAGACAGTTTGTAAGACGACCCCCAAACACTGAATTCAAGCCACAGTACACTGTGAAGACAGTGAAGCATGGTTGTGCAAGCATCATGATATGGGGATGTTTCTCATACTACGGTGTTGGGCCTATTTATCGCATACCAGGGATCGTGGATCAGTTTGAATACATCAGAATACTTGAAGAGGTCATGCTGCCTTATGCTGAAGAGGAAATGCCTTTGAAATGGGTGTTCCAACAAGACAACGACCCCAAACACACCCAGTAAAAGTGCAACATCTTGGTTCCAGACCAACAAGATTGACGTTATGGAGTGGCCAGCCCAATCCCCGGATCTTAATCCAATAGAAAACTTGTGGGGTGACATCAAAAATGCAGTTTCTGAGGCAAAAGCCAAGAAATAGAGAAGAACTGTGGAATGTAGTCCAATCATCCTGGGCTGGAATACCTGATCACAGGTGCCAGAAGTTGGTTGACTCCATGCAAACACAAATGTACAGCAGTTCTCAGAAACAGTGCTTATACAACTAAATATTAATTAAGTGATTCAAAGGAAAGCAAAATCTTCAAACATTTTTCAGTTTATATAGTGAATGTTTGAGTTTGTAAAGAAGAATACAAACACTGCTATTTTTTTGAACAGTCTAATATTCACTTTTTTAAAAAAAAATTTTTTAGAGGAACAACACAAATTTGATATATTTTTCTTCATGTTTTGATTTGGAATAGAATGTGTAGTGTTCCCAATGCATTTGTGTGTATGGAAATAAAAGCTATTAGAAGGATTTTAAGCTTTATTCACTTTTTTCAACACACTGCTAATATTTTGAACACAACTGTATGTATATATATATATATATATATATATATATATATATATATTAATTTTTTTTTTTTACAATTTTATTTTGCTTTTTTTACAGCTCTGTTGAGGGGGCCTCTGGTGAAAAATATCAGGGGTCTTAACAAATTCCTGATGTCTCATGTTTGAGAAACATATTCCTCAATCCCTTTCTCTGCATCCTCAGCTGCACTGTAGATGAATGAACAGGAAGTGCTTTGTACAGAGACTTCCTGTTCACAAACTGAAGCATAGTAATCACAGTTTACTATGCTTCAGCTATGAATGAACACAGGTGCAATTGGTACTGATCGATCACTGTATTCATTCAGAAAAGGAAAGGGCTAGTAAATAGGACATATTTACCAGATGCCCCCCACTGTCCCCTATTCATTCTGAACTCAGTCCCCCTTTGCCTACAGCAGCTTCAGCTGGTGGAAGGGAGAGAAGAGGGCTGGAAGAGATGCGGGGGGTGGGGAATAATTAGTGGCACTGATTACAGATATCAGCAAGAGCAGATTTTGGTGACTAACAGTGCAAGTTGCACATTCCGTAGTGCATGCCCATACAGTTTTTCTGCAGAAAAAGGAAGGAACCTGAACTGCAGTAAGTTTTATGAATCGTATCTCTAAAGCACAAAGCAAAAAAAAGGGAAAAAAGTGAATTAAGTCCAAGTTTTGGTGCTGTCCCTTTAGCTTGCTGCCTAGACTCTGGCCCACCAATGCTTTGTATATGTACAGTTTCATTAGGATCTGCTGTGGGGCTTCAAACATCTTGCTGATTACACATGTAGCGTTGCAACCGCATAGCCCACTTTTAATACCCGGTTTCATGTTACACCCCAACCCTCCTCACTCGACCCCCCCCCCCCCCCCCCCACCCCACACACACACACACACACACACACACACACACTTACCTAAATTGATTATCCTTGCACAAATGTGTTTTGTTTTTCATTTAGCGCAGCACTGTATGGTTCTGTTCATAGAGCCATGTCATCCTTTTACAGGGATCTGGTAATAGAAAAACTACAACTCCCATCTGCCACTGGGGCAGAAGGACTTGTAGATCGCCCGACACTAACACTGCATTTGTAGTCCACTGTTTACTTCCTCCTGCCCAAAAACATACGGTCTGTACCTCTATATGGTGGGAGTAAACAATGTAGGTGCCTGTTCATTGAGTCCATGACACACTACACATTGTTGTAATGCTCTTCAGGATTTAGTGTACAAATGTAAAAATTGCACATTTTTA